CCAGGGGAGTCCAGGGGGCGTGCAGGGCAGGGGTGGGGAAAGGTGTGAAAAGCTGGGTGGCGAGGGCACACCCTGGCGGGGAACCCGGAGTGGGGGTGGGGCTCAGCCGGCAGGGCTCCACCTGGCCCACGAGCCCTTTCTGCTGGCTGGGCCCCGACTCGGCCCAGCCCCAACCTCACCACCACCCCGTGGTGTGCAAGAGCCCTACACCCACGGTAGGAACAAAAAGTGGAGCTTGGGAAGGGAGGGGCAGGCCCAGCCCAGCCCAAGTTCAGACTGCTGGAAAGTTGCTGGGCTGTGGTTTTGAGCTTTGGGTCCCTCTGCACCCCTTAAGACAGAACCCCAGGCTGGACAGAGCCTGGCCCAAACAGAAAGGAGGAAATCCTGCCTGCCACGGGGCAAGGCTGCCAGCAGCCCTGTGGCCTGGGACCTGCACCACTGGGGAGGGTGGGAGAGGCACCCCAGAGCACTGTCCTGCCAGTCCCTCTGTCCTGAGTGCACCAGAAGTGTCCAGTCAGCCTGCCTGACCTGGCCTTGGCCCTGCAGATGGCTCAGTAGACAGTCCAGAACCAGCCGCCACCTTGCATAGGGACGTAACAATAAGGTTACCCAAGCCCCACCTCCAGAGGAGGGTGTGAGGGTGACATGATGAGACATGCCCAGCAGGTCCTCAGAGGCCCATCCCCTTCCTCTCTAACTCTGGCTGGGCTGCAAGGCCATCCAGCCCCTCACTCTGGCCCTTCCATGGCCTCAGACGCCACTATAACATCCCACCCCTGCCAGTGCAAACTGTTAGAGGGGAGAGGCCCGGTCCTGCCTCACACTCTGGGGAAGAGGGTCTGCGGGACTTCGGGTGAGTCGGAGGGTGGGCACCACGTCAGCAGAGAAGCTTCACGCCCAGGAATTGTAATACTCTGAGGGGCCTCCAGGAAGTGGTCGGGGGAGGGGGCAGAGCAGAGGAGTGGTGTGGTGCTGGCTGGGGGATCTGCTGGAGGGGACGCCGAAAGGGGGGTGTTTGGCTGGATGACTTCCCCACACTCCCCTTGCCCACTGGGCCCCCAACTGAGCTAGGGACTCTCCCGCCAGCCCCTAGCCAAGCGGGAGTTCATAGGGGGCCCAGAGAAGGGCCGCTCAGGGTGTGGCAATTTTGCTTAGAACCCAAGTTGGCTTCCAAACTGGCTGCCCCTGGGGCCCAGCTCCAGCCTTCAGGTCTGTAAGTCATGAGGGCCGTGGTGGGACTGGGGAACCCTGAGACAGGCAGGGAGGGAGGGGAGCTGCAAACAAAGGGGCGGGCCCTAGATGGTGGCCTGAGCGTCCACTCTTGTGTGCACGTGTGTGTACGAGCACAAGGGTATGTGCTCATGGGGTCTTCACACTTGTGCTGCGGGTGTGTGTGGACACACGTGTCTGGGCCTGGGACCCTCCCTGGAGCTCCAGTGCAAAGCCAGCCCAGGAGCCGCGGGGTGGGAGCGCTGGAGGCAGGCTCACTCCTCAGGGGAGCCCAGTGCCCACAAGAGCACACGGGATGCTTGGCCTCACCCTATCCTGGAACCTCATGTGAAAAGTGCCAAACTCGGCTGACTGGTCATGAGACCTTCAGACTTTCTGCAGCAGCACCCGCAGGCAGCTGAGGGCCTGCCCTCTCCTCCCTGGTATTTCTCAACATAACTGCTGCTCGGGGTGCAGCCTGGGCTCCTGTGCTGCCTCCCAGGCTCCAGGAAGGCGGGGGACCCAGCCTCGGTCTGCCTGGACCCCTCATCCTCACTGCAGCCCCAGCTATAACCAGGAGGTTTCCACAACACTGTCTCCCAAAACACCCCTCTGTAGATCCCTGGGGCTGCCCGTTAGTCTTCCTGGCCCGCCAACATCTGCAGACTCCCAGCCTGCACCATTGCTGCCTGGGCCCCAGAGCTTCAGGACTGTGTTTCGGACCAGGCTCTCCCCCATCCCCTGGCCTTTTCACGGGCAGTTTCCTCCAGTCTCCCAAACCAGCTTGGCCAGCCGCCATCATTTTTGGCCACTGCCTGGTCCCTGGTCCCTGGTCCCTGGTGCCTGGAACATTTTGCTCACAAATACTCAGAGCCTGGCACACAGTAGGTGCATACTAAATGCTAGTGCAGGGAGCAGGTGGGTGGAGGCAGGGAAGGAGCTCACAGATCTGGAAGGTGCGAGTCCCTCCCAGCCTGGGGGTGCAGCGGGGTCTCAGGGGCTGGGAGGGTCCCCAGGAGGGCCAAGCACTTCTCCTTCTGCATGTGGAGAAACTGAGGCACAGGCAGGCATGTCAGCCCCCCAACCCCAAAGGGCCCAGTCCCCATGCTCCTGTCCACCGCAGCAGGATAGTGGGCCTGAGCTTGTTTCTCTCTGGGCTGAAAGGCCAGCGCCCAGACTCCCAACACTGTGGCTCCGTGACAGGGCGGCCCCCACAGCCTCCCAGGGTCCCCAGGGCACCCAACTAGGACAGCAGCCATCATCTGCCTTGGGGATCTGCCTGTCTTGGGATTGAAATGGCCGTCCTGTCGTCCTTGGCTACCAGGACCTGACGAGCCTGCCCTCCAGCATCAGCTGGGGCCAGGCAGGGTCAGGGACATGCCTGGCCCAGCTCTGCCACGCCCCACCTCTGGGCCCCTACCCAACCCCCTAGGCCTGCTGGGCAGTGAGGTGGTCAGCTGCCCCAGGGCTGCCCCCAGAAAGGGGGCAGGAGACCGGGGGCAGGGCAGGGACAGGGGACGGGGCAGCCGCTTGCTTACCGAGGCCGACGTCCTCCCAACTTGCCCAGAAGTGAAGCTTTCAGTCTCCCAGCTCCCTCTGGCTGTCCTCCCGGACTCCTCCCCTCCGCAGCCCCTCCCTCTGCTCCCTGGGCAAGCCCCCCTCGCCCCACCAGAGGGAGTAGGCATGGGCGGGCCCCTGACAGGCCCCTCCAGCTGGGCCAGGCTCTGCCTCTCCAGCTTCAGGATCTGGGACCCCCCCCGCCCCCTCCGTGCCCCAAAAGCCAGGCAGCTGACTGGGGGAGGAAATGCCTGCCCAGCACAGGGGTGTGAGTCACTACCACCCGCCCCGCCTGGTCGGGTTCAGTCCAGTCCAGTCCTGCTGTGTGGACAGACAGGTGGACAGACTTGGAAGGCACACAGGACTGTCCAGCAGACTGGGCACAGACCCTGCGCCTCAGTTTCCCTGTAGGTGCTGGGGCAGAGGCAGGGGGCTGGCTGGGCTGGGTAGGAGCAGGGAAGGGAAGGGGAGGTGAACGGAGATCCTCCCTGGAGAGGCCGAGGCCTGGCATGGACCCTGCTCCCTCTGGGACCTCAGCGCTACACACGGCCCCTCAGGCTCCACCAAGCCCTCTGCCACGGACAAGGCTGCAAAGGCCAGGCCAAGCCCCCCCCCCCGTAGCCAGGGCCAGTGAGCCTGGGGACGGCGGCCTTGCCGCCACCCCTGCCTGCCCACGCTCCCCGAGGGCAGCCTGATGCTGCCACCTCTGGCCCTCTCAGCAGAAACCCACCCCTCGAAGTTCCCAACATCTGGGGAGCTGGGTGTAGTGGGGCCCTGGAACCAGCCTTTTTAACAACTCCCCTCCCCAGTTGTTTGGATGTAACTGGTGGCTGAGGAACACATGCTGAGGACCCCCAACTTGCCCACTCCCAGAGCCCAACTGCCTGGCCCTGGCACCTCCTGTCACCTCCTCCTGTCCCCTGGACTCCAAAGCTCTGTCCCAGGAACCCCCGAGGGGGTTGAGGATGGCTCGCGGGCCTCTCCCAGCTCCAGGTGTCCCAGCATGCCTGGGCAGGACAGCAGGTGGCACTATCTGCAGATCTGCTGGCTCCCAGGGCTGCCCAGCCCAGTGCCCTGTGGGGTGGGTCCCAGCTGGCTGTGGGCACCTGCAGTCCATCAGCAGTTCGGAGCAGGCTGGCACAGCGGAGGTGTCTGGCCTGGGGCTCAAGGGCAGTGAGGGGTCAGGCCCAGCCCCTGGGGAGGGTCAGCCTAAACCCACACTCATACCCCTGCCAGCCAAACCAGGTCAGGGCCAGTGACGGTGGCTGCACGCAGAGCTGGGGCTCCTTGGGCAGCTGAGGGTAGCGGGCACCAAAAGAAGCCATGGGGGGCCGGGCCCCACAGCGCGACACCAGAAGCCAGGAGTGGCCTGCGGTGGGGGGACAGCAAGGGGAGGCCCCCACTGGCTGGAGGCAGAGAGCGCTGGTGGGAAGACAGGGCGAGAGGCCCTGGGACGGGTCACCAGTGCTTGAAGGAGGGACCGCACCCAGGCCCCTCCCTGCCTCCCCTCACCAAAACCCTAACAGTCACAAACAGCTCTGCTCTGTTTACAGTGAGGCAGGAAAGCAGGCCAGGCCTACTCCCACAGCCCAGACAGTTCTGGTTCTCACCTGGGAACTCTTTGTTTATGGCCTGACACCCCACCAGACCGGCACTGCCCCGGGGCAGGGCAGGCTGTTGACTCCGCTGGAGGGAGGGGGCGGGTGCTGGCACAGAGCAGGGTCACCCCACCTCCTTCTCTCCTGAGCCTGGGTGCTCCAAACCAAACTCCCCCATCCTCCTGAACCCCATCGCTTCCCCTGCTACCCTGCACTGGGCTCTGGACCATAGTGACAGGCGCCCACCCAGGCAGCCAGAGGGAAGTGCACGGCCAGACCATCCCCTACAACTGGTGTGTGGCCTGTAGGCAGGCCCCCCTGCAGCCACACTCCTCCCCAAAACCCTATGCTCTGCACACCCCTACCCGTGCTAGGCCCTCTCCAGACTCCTAACACGTGCACATGCCCCTGCTCTGTCCCGAGCAGCCTCCTGTCTCGGACCCCAGACTTTGCCCCCAGACCCTTGGTGGTGCTGTGTGTGTGTGGCTCTGGGGGTGAAGGGAGGTGGGTGCTGGCAGGATGGTGTGAACAGTGCTGGCCGGGGGGCTGGGTGGGACAGGAAGGAGTCAGCTGGAGGCACAGGGCTCTGGGTCGGACCACTGTGACCTAGTAGTGGCAAGAGTCAGAGGCCCATCCCTCACCCTGCCCCTGGGCTGGCATCCAGTCCCAGAAGGGTGTACCTGGCTCCCCAGCAGATAAGGGTTCTAGGTGAGGCTCTGCCCACTTGTCTCAGCTCCCAGGGAACCCCCCCCCACCGGATCCCTGGCTCCAGGTGGCCAGGCAGGTACTGGGCCAGCTAAAGAGGAAGCGGGCAGGGTGTCTGCTGAGCTGCCACACAGGTGGGCTGTCCTGGATCATGCCCACCAAGCCCTGCTACACAGACAGTTGTAGCTCAGTGCCACTTGGACCGCAGGCTCCTCTTCAGAGTCACCATAGTTAGGGGCCAGGGGCAGCTGAAAGTGAACTAGCTGGCAAGGAGGCCAGGGAAAGCGTGGCATTCTCAGGGAATGTGTCATGGGGGAGCCCGTGGGTGCTGGTGCCACCCAGGAGCAAGGCCTGCTTGGAAGGGAGCCACCAGGAGGGGTCCCCCTGCCAGGTGCCCCTTGAGAGGTCATCCTCCTCCAGCCCTGGAGGGGTCCAGTGTGTCTGGCAGTTCTTAAACAAGGGCATTGGCCAGGGTCGGGTGGGTGCGGTGGGGCAGAGGGCCCCAGGCCCAGTGCAGGCAGCCCACAGACTCCCACCCTGGGGGCTTGAGCCCAGACAAAGGAGCCTTGACCTGGCCCAGTGGGCCCTAATGTCCAGGGCCTCCTGCCCACCCAGATACCCACGCCTGGGCAGCCCCTCCAGCAGACACTGGGGCTGAGGGAGCCCACCAGCCCACTGCTCTGACAGGGAGGCGTCCTGTCCCTGGTGCACTCCTTTGTGAGCCTCGCCCCGGCCACGGACACCCGCCTCTGGGTCTGTGTCCAGGCGGGAGCACGGCTCAGACCCTTCCCAGGACTCCCGGCGGTTCACCCAGCCTAAGGAGTGGGCAGCCTGCCTCTGCTGGCAGCTCTGCCTGCTGTTCCATCATCACGCCTGGGCACCAGGGAGACGTGCCTGCCCGAGGCCCTCCCAAACAGCTCTCCAGGGAGGGGGCCCAACGCTGCCCCTCACCCGCACCCGGCACGGGCACACTGGGTCAGCGGGGCCTCCTGTAGCTCCCGGGAGGGCAGGAACCAGAAAACCTGTGGGCGCAGCAGGGCACCACCTCCCACCTCGCCTCAGCCCCTCAGGCCTCCTGGGCCTAGCTCCATCTTTCCATTTGAGAAAATGCTTCCGACTATGAAATATTTATCCCGGTGAGGTGGACATTTAGCTCCCCGCTGCCTGTGCCTCCAAAAAAAGAAAAACAAAGGGAAACCTGGAGGAAGAGGTAGACGTGGTGGAGGTGGTCTGAAGGCTCCCAGGGTGACCAGAATGCCCTTAGAATTGAGTGATGAGGGAGGCGGTTCAAGGGAGTGTGGCCAGCTCTCACCGTGCGTCTCCCTAAGGCTCCCTGTTCACACTCTCCCCACTCTCAGTCCTCAGCACCTCCATCGCCCCCTCCTCCTCCCTGCTGGGCCCCACCCCTTCCCGGGGACCGCCCTGTGAAGCTACCCGCTGTTCCCTAGTCAACATTCCCTCCAGATCTCTTGCTCGCACTGGTCTCCCCACTAGGCTGTCCTTCCTCCAGGAAGCCCCCCCCTGATTTCCCTGTACACCAAGGCTGCACTGATGGCCAAAGCTGTGCCTGGTTGCTGAATGAACAATGGTGAACCCCTGCTCCCCAACTTGTGAACTCCCAAGACCCATGGCCCCTAGGATGGACAAGTGGACAGATGGGCGGGCAGACAACCCCCTTCACATAGCCCTAAGCACAGGGTCTGCCTCCTGCTGCCCTCGCCCAGGCAAAGGACCAAGCTAGGGAGATCTGGGCCTTTTGCCCCTGAAGTGGGGGCAGGGGCCCAGATGGCTCTTGCCACACCCCACTTGCCTGGGGTTCTCCCCCATGACAGCTCCAAGTCCCCATGCCCAGGCAAACCAGCCCCAGGCTGAACTTGAAATACAGAGGCCTTCGGAAAAGGGCAGTCACAGGAGAAGACACAGAGAGGGCGGGAGTCTGAAGGGAAGCCAGGGCTGGGCCCAGCAATCTAGGGGGCGTTCTGGAAGAGGCAGCCCCTAGCCAGGCTCAGGGTGGAAGAGCTTAGCAAAAGGGAGAGACGGCCACAAGGGCATTCTTGCCGGAGGCCCAGCCACTCTGAGCCTCAGGTGGAGTGGGTGCGCAGGAGGAGGCACTGGACCCTCCCATCCACTGCTGGGCCCTGCCCCCTTCCTGAGGCCCTGGGGCAGGAGCTGGGCTGTCTGGCCTGTTTCCCAAGGAAAAGAAGTGGGGGTGTTTTCAGGGATACGCATGTCATAACCATCGGTGGCTCTGAGAATCATCCTCATTAAAGTGTCGGCCAGTCAGTACCCCAGCCCAGGATGACCTCTGGGGTGTCCTTCCCAGTGCCAGCCCCTGCCATAGGCACGTCCAGGCTGGAGGGCCTGTTGCCTATGGGCTCCCTGCCTGGTGGGGCAGGGCACGGCCATTGTGGCCCCTGCAGAGACCAGAGAGGCTCCATGTTGGGGTGGGGCTCTGCCTCACTGCCCTGAGACTCAGTGTCCCCGTCTGCAACACGGGTTCACAGCCCTCCACCATTGTGGACAGTACAGAGGCCAGCTCGCAGGAAGGGCAGCCTAGCTCTGCCTCTCTGCCTGCCTGGGCTGTGAGCAGCTGATTACCCCAGCTCACAGATTCGAGATCCAGCCCATAGGCCAGAGTCCAGGGCTGTCCAGAGGCTGCCCTCCACCCAGTTGAGAGGGGTGAGACCAGCACAGGGGATGCTCGGCATTGCACTGCTCTTGGGGAAGGCCACAGCGCCGCCATGGCTCCCTGCCAG